TGATATAGATGTAGATATTATTATGTATTATTACTATTTTGTTATTATAAGTACATATATATATATATATATATATATATATCAAATATAAATATGTATTCATATACTGGACTTGTATTCTGCCTTAGTATATCATAATTACACACCATACCGTATCGGCGAGGAAAAATCATGACAGCTCTAGTGCTCGTCTTGATAGAACACAAGTATGCTTCACACCTACATCCTAGAACAACAACTGGAATGGTTCGTGACCTGTTGATGCCTTAGTATTCCTAATACGCTTCAACAACCCTTGGCTTTGTTTGTCGTTAGGATATCGAACGCGACGCAGAGATAGAGCGACAAAAACAGGAGGTCATCAGGAGGCAACAAATGAACAACACAGCACACGCCGCAGGTAGGCGACGGCGTTGTGGTTTCGCATCTGTGCAATGATACTGGAGGATACTGTGAGTGATGAAGAGTCTAGCTGTTCGGTACATAGGCATGCACAAGTCCTTTGCCCTTGGCAAGGCAACGGTGTCACATGCGCATACTTGCTGGCATTTAAATTACGGGAATCAATCCATGTATGTTCATCGACGTGGTCTTGTACATAGATACACACACGAACAGATACGCAGGAACATATACATATACACATATATACATACATACATATACACACATATATACATACATATACACACACACACATACATGCATACATACATACATACATACATACACACACACATACATACATACACACACACACAAGCAAATACTAATAAACAGATACCAGTATGCCCGTACAGCTTTAACGTGGCTTTCATTTAGCCCTATACCCTATAGTGTCATCTAGTGATATACTAATGCATACCACCTGTACATTCAATTACTGACAGCGCCGGCCTGGGCCGTGGGACCAGAATCGCCGCAGAGAGGATCAATTGCACCGAACTCAAACCCAAATAACACCAATGATAACGACAGGGGTAGTGCCTGTAGCAACACTAACACGCACAGTAGAAGCAACGAACCCGGGCGAGGGGCATACGGCAAAGCACCTCCCAAACCACCGCCTAGCAGACCCTCGCACGCAGCTCCTAACACGCGGGGAGCCTACTACGGCCACACACAAGCATCCACAGCCACGTCACAGGCCAATACAACCATCCACACAAGGGCATCCGATTCACCTCATAGTGTCGGACACGACCCAGAAAGTAGGACACGGACTCCACCTACCAGCCACAACCACGGGAGTGCGGGCAGTGGCCTAGGTGTGGACGATAGTCCGTTTGAAATGTCTTATATTAACGACAGTCGAAGGCGTGGTAGCGACGATGCGTACAGCCGACCGTACGACAATTCAATGAAGCATACGACAATGTATGACAGTCCTCAGGAGACTTCGACGGACGGGTGGAGTGAGTGGGGCGATACTATGAAGAAGAAGGGCGAGACGCTGAAGGCGGCAGTGACAAGCAAGATGGCTAGCAACGGCAGGACGTACGCACAGGATAGGTGCGTGTCAGTGTGTTCATATATATATATTACATTATATATACA